TATTTATATAGCGCACATATCCACGCACTAGTGCATGCTCAAGGCGCTGGTATTTTCCAGGATTATTTATGTAGGATTGAAACAGAATTGAAAAACAGACATCAAGGTACATTATTGCTAATTTACCAAGCTCCCTAAGCCGTGAGGTGAGCGAGTGAGTGAGTGAGTGGGGTGAGTAAGTTAGTGAGTGTAGGTTTCCGGCACTTCAAGGGTACGCAACTCTGCCAAGCGATTTCAGCGTTTTTAATATCATAAAGATAGCAGTCTATTTGTATGACGATTTGTATGACCTAAACTGTCTATGAGGTGCTGGAGTCAAACTCTTAAAAATAGTCACCCATTCGCGGACTTCACGTGATGTATATGCCGATGTGGCCTGAATTTTAACAATATTTCAGTTTTTCACAACCTGTCAGTTTGATATTGTGAAATGTCCAAAGTGATGAATGTATGATGATTGCTATTTTCATGATGCCTTTCCTTTTTTGGGAGAGTATATTTTGACCTATGCTATGTCGCATTGTCGCCCTTTGGAGGAATAGAAAAATATTATTCAAAACGCGACAATGCGACATCGCGACAATGCGACAATGTCCCTTCTCGGATTCAATATTTATAAGTGTGATGCTCTGGTTGTTGTACCGTCTTTTGTCCAAGCGTGTTTATATTCGTGTGTCATGAATGTATCACCTCTTTTAGACACGTTATGGCTGAAATACTGCCAATGTCACTACAATTCCTAATTCACCCATTCACTATCCATTAAGGGTATCAGCTGATGTTAATGCCACGCCATAACATTCAAGCCAAAGTGCCTCTATCTCAACACAGCCATCAACAGAAAATATCACAAAAAAGCTTAATGCCAATGTTGAAAATAAAGTAAGGGATGTCTGTAAATACGGCATCGATTTTCCATCGACCATATCAAAACAATAATGTACATGCGAGAACGAGTATTGTTAAACAGTGAGCAGCGCACTGGACAATAACATTTGTTCATTAAAGGGACTAAGTTACCCATTAGGGACCCCATTGTAATATCCCTTGAAGGTAAATTAGAAACAGAAGCGAACATTTGTGTTGATGATATATCTATAAAATACCTAAGCATTATTATGAAAGAAAAGGATTCAACACGACGGAAAGAAATGCCCGTTGCAGATGTTTTGTGCACCACGGCCACTGTTTGTCATCGGCTTCTATCCCGACAGGAGGTAGCATGAGTTCAAGGAAATAGCTCCTACTCACATTAATGAAATTCATGCACAATAGTTAAATTACATTTGTGACGTCATTCCATTGTCTGCTCGCTCCATTACTTTTCAGGAATGGAGCGGTGTATACCAGTTTCAAACTAAAGCCTTCATTTTGTCATTGTGGCATTTACTTTTGATAACAAAAATATTCCCAATACTTTGAATGTAATTTAAGTAGGGTAATATGCTCGTAACACTCCATTACCCTATACGTAATACTGAGACCTTACAGAACGGTTTAATGGCCGTAGAGCCACTGTGTCAATTCACACGTTAAACACGTTTGTTAATGTTTCACATGTTTAATGTTTGCTCGTATGTCAAATGATTCAAATGAAGTGCACAAAGCCAAGATAGTTTGAAGACTGGGACTGCCCGTGTATAGACTGATGCACAAGAAATCTCTCAACACATTCCACTTGTGAAGGTCCGGGTTAGAATTGATCTTCAGTAACCCATTCTTGTCGTAAGAGGCGACTAACGGGATCGGGTGGTCAGACTCACTTGCTTGTCACCGTATCCTAAGTGCGTAGATCGATGCCCATGATATTAATCACTGGATTGTCTGGTCCAGACTCGATTATTTACAGACATCCGCCATATAGCTGGAATATTGCTGAGTGCGGAGTAAATGTAAACTCGCTCTTACCACATTCCAAATGGCATTGACAAACAAACTAGAACTTTACAGCTACTACAATCTAGGCAAGCTGTAAAGGCAGTGACTACTTTAGGTCCAAAATAGCGCTCTGACGTTGGCATCGAAGCTTTATTCGGAGATTCGAGTGAGTGAGTTTAGTTTTACGCCGCTTTTAGCAATATTCCAGCAATATCACGACGGGGGACACCAGAAATTGTACCCATGAACCCGGGTCTTCAGCGTGACGAGCGAATGCTTTAACCACTAGGCCGTCCCTACGTCCTGAGTCTGTTTCGAACGTGGCAGTGGCTTACCATTGTTATCTTGCAAGCCTATGTGGACCAGGGGACTTAATCATTGCAAACAAGGGCTTTACAGGGCTTGCAGCCTCAGGGAGTCTTGTAAACGTACCACCATTCCTTTCAAGAAAATCTCAAATTACTGAGGACGTGGCACAGATTTGTTCAAAAGGTAGGAAGTCCTCATGTTGAGAAGGTAAATGAGCAAGTGAAACATAATCAACTATGTGCCAGAAGCCCACAGGCCCATCTCTTCGAAAATATTTTAAATCTGCCCGCATAAATATTCAAGCACCTCTATTGAATGCAGTTTCTGGACACAAGAGAAAAATGTTAGTACAGTGTAAAACTCGAATCTATTCTAAGTCCCAAATAGTATATCTGCATATACATGTGCCTGCGAATCATGAATTCAAGATATTAATAGGTAGCATGGTCTCAACATTCACTAAGCTGTACACTGTTCGTACCTTTATCTCAAAGTTGTAAGATGCGACCGTATCGATGCTGATGATGTTCGTCACTCGATTATTCACAGACCGCCACCATACAGCTGGAATATTTCATATTTCAAGAAAATGGGTCCGTGTACAGGTGATGAGTTTATCATTTCATGAAATGACTGGAAAATTTCGCGAAATGGCTGACCCTCTTAGTCATTTCAAGAAATGACTGAAATGTATTGTTTAGTCATTTCACGAAATGTCGGATTTCACAATCTGACTGTAACATATATACATTAGGATTTAAAGAGGTGGTCATGTCTAAAACAAATGGAAAAGAATGATTTCTATGGCATATATTCAGTATTATGTTTGGGCTCGTATACAAATGAAAACAATTGAAGAATGAAATTTTACTCAGAATTGCTGTAGGTATGCAAATGAATATTAGATTCTGAGCAGGTCCAGATACATCCCAGGACAAAAAGCGTTTTCAAGCCGAGTTTCCATTTCCAGATACCCAAATGATATCAAATAAACTTTACGGACCTAGTGTTTACCTGCATAGACCCTAGGTAGATTTGCATCACCCCCTCAGTCTTTGGCAAAAGTAGATGAGACTAGCCAAAATTTACAACAGCAAATATACTTCACTTGAAAGTCTGTCATCCTTATGAATACTTCAAATGATGTTGAATTTACAAACCAATTAGGGGCATACTCATTTTACGTTACTGTAACCTATGTTACATATTAGCACTGCCGGGGCGGGTGGTTAGCCTTGTGTTTAAAGTGATCGCTCGTCATGAAGAAGTCCTGGGCCTAGACTTTCGAAGCTCTCTTAGGGCTAAGATTGTCGTGAGTTAATGTTAATGTATGACAGTTACTAGTATCTTAGTGTTAAAAAAATCTATTTGAAAATCTAGGCCCTGAGTTGGATTCCCCACATGGGTACAATGTGTGAACCCCATTTCTGGTGTCCCCCTCACTGTGATATTGCTGAAATATTGTTTAAGGCGGTGTAACACTAAATTCACTCAATGTTAGCACTACCAATTTATACGAAACATTTCATCACATCGACATTGTTGAAAAAAACACATTTAATATTTTAAACATACAAGTTGTTTTGAAAGGACAATAAGTACGAACCCATTATATAAACCTTCCCATTTCAGAACATGTCGTGCATGAATAACCACAGTGGCGTGAGAATATTCTCTGTCAACAAAAAACTTTATACTGTGGGGTTGTTGTGTACAGAATGTTAAGACTTCCTCATAAGTCAGCTCAGATGCTGGTTATTACCATGGCAAGATATACCGTAGATTATCGCTTTGTCCCGTCACCTATTTACGGGCCCGTTGCTTGGGTAGATGTTGATGTCAATCAAAGAATTGGTTCACCATTGATTGTACCCAGTCCGCCGTTGACAAAGAACACTTACGCGTAGAATCAATAAAAAACATCATGGGACCTTCTGTTTTTACTCTCTGTAAACTCCCTGAGGGTTTAAGGTAGGATATCGACGTCAGCTTGGCATTTATATACTTGTAGCTGATGCACAACATTTTCTGGATAATGGTGTCAAACATTAACATGATCTCACACGAACAAACACGTGCAATTGGGAGAACTGACAACTTTCTTGTAATGACGTTGTTGTCTGAATTCTTCTGTAAATACGTCTTTTTGTCTCGAAGTGAAAATAATCGAAACTTATCCAACGCTGCTTTCGCGCATTTTTGTATTGGCATACACGCAGATTTAAATGCTTCGGACACGTAGGACATGAATGTGACAATTCTCATTAGTGCGAATCACCATGAAAAAATGCATCCATGGTCGTGAATCCTTTTGGGATCCAATTTCATTACAGGATATAAGGAATATATTTGTTCCGCGTGTTGAGTGCGCTAAACAACTAAAACATTACACTGATCTGACCTATGTTTCTCAATATACGGTTTTAAATAAAATCTATGCTTTCGGTTGACATATATAATTGAGAAGACCTGTGTGACACCATTCATTATGTTTCATTTCATGTGCTGTTAAAACGTCTATTTCTTGAAAGGAAATGTCAGTTACAATGCAGATGCGTTGATGTTTTTTCAAAACATGCTTCTAACGACAGTCTGGTTACCATAACAAATGATATTATGTTTTAATAAACGCCCAGCCAGGCGTCAAAGACTGCAATAAACCTACGTGTCACGTGGGACTTTGTGAACATAAATAATGCATACGGTTTCTGTGCACACGTATATAGTCTTATCACGGTGGAACATGACCAGTGGGAACTGAAGTTGTGTTCGTCTGTACCCCGACAATTCAGGATATATTTCTCAACGGATAACCGCCCTGAAGAGTTGTATGTTGTGAAGTTAAAATGATTCATCTTATCAGCTGCTGGATTCACAGCATATGTCTTCTATATCTCACCCTTGTTGCCGCCAACGAGAAGACATGCTCCACCTTAAGTCAATTACCTGTGATACAAGGTTCAAGGATGAAGGGTGCTGTCATTGAAACATTTACCACTGCAGGCATTGTTAGCTGTGCAAGGGAATGTCTTCTGAGAACTATGTGCAAGTCTTACAACTTTCAGCTTGATGACGGAACATGCGAGCTGAGTTGTGAGGATGGATCTGCAAGTTCCTTGGAAACAGCACCAGGCTTTGTGTTCTCTAAGTCGGAAGATTGGCCACAGGTGACTGTTGTTACTTAATATATAGTAACCCTGTTTCATGCAGACTACTGTTCCTATAGTCTTCTCAGAAACCCCGTTTTAATAGATGAAGCTTCTCACCCCCTTTGGGAAAATATATTATGTGAAACTGTCTTTATTTTCAACTTAAGATCCATTTTATTTCTTCCCATACAGGACAAACTGAAGAAATATTATGAATATCGCTCAGTTGCCGAAGGAGACCACTAGTTTTGTATATTCAGCGGTAGAAACAAACGATGCCACATGTTCAGTCAGTATATCTTTATTAGTAGTGATTAAATCTACGTCTATATTGACAAAATGAAGTTCCTTTAAAATTGTATAGTTTAGGATTTGTTCATTACAACATTGACCTTTCAGATTCATTACTGATGGGCATTTTAGAAATTGGGGTAATGAAGAATGAGGATAATTTTCTGGACATACAACTTCTTTATTCTGTGAAAGGCTACGTTTCGACATAGATTCTCATGTTGTCGCCTCTCGTAGAATATAGAAGTTGTATATCCATAAAATTATCCTCATTCTTAACCAGATACCTTTGTACTATTTGAGTATTATTTCTTTATCAATAGTTTCCCCCGTGTAAAGTGTCTGTGTGTGTTAGTCGCATTCATTAACCGGTTTGTAGTTTTGAAAAGAGATATCTTTGTTGAATCTTTCATGTGTGTTTTCACCTGAATCTGCTACAGGGAATACTAGCCGGTTGTAAAGACCACTCCTGTCCTAACAACACTGTGTGCAAAGAAGCAGATGGCGGCGAAGTGAAGTGTATCCTTGCGTGTAGGTACACGGTGTGATTTATTTATAGTCTTCTGGTAGTTTGCTTTGGGGACTGAAATATATAAGCCCTGGCCTTTTCGTAGCGAAAAGGTTGCCTTTTAGGTTTTGAGCTAGGTTAACAGGGTTTTACCTTGCCAAAAAGGATTAGGGGTCCATAGGAACCCACTTACTAATTTCAAGGGTTCTTACGTGAAGTACGAGGGTCCTGTAAGGTCATGATGTAGTAGAGTGTACTGTAAGGTCATGATGTTCTAGAGTGTATTGTAAGGTCATGATGTAGTAGAGTGTACAGTAAGGTCATGATGTAGTAGAGTGTACTGTAAGGTCATGATGTTCTAGAGTGTACTGTAAGGTCATGATGTACGTAGAGTGTACTGTAAGGTCATGATGTTCTAGAGTGTATTGTAAGGTCATGATGTAGTAAAGTGTACTGTAAGGTCATGATGTAGTAGTATGTACCTTAAGGTCAAAATTTAGGAGAGTGCACTGTAATGTCACGATTTAGTAGAGCGTACTGTAAGGTCATGATGTAGTAGAGTGTACTGTAAGGTCATGATGTAGTAGAGGGTACTGTAAGTTCATGATGAAGTAGAGTGTACCGGAAGGTCATGACATAGTCCAGATTACTGTAAGGTCTTGACGTAGTAAAGTGTATTGTAAGGTCATGGTGAAGTAGAGTGTACTGTAAGGACATGATGTAGTAGAGCGTACCGTAAGGTCATGATGTAGTAGAGTGTACTGTAGGGTCATGATGTTGTAGAGCGTACTGTAAGGTGTACTGTAAGGTCATGTTGTAGTAGAGCGTACTCTAAGGTCATGATGTAGTAGAGTGTACTGTAAGGTCATGATGAAGTAGAGTGTACTGTAAGGTCATGATGTATTAGAGTGTACAGTAAGGTCATGATGTATTAGAGTGTACTGTAAGGTCATGATGGAGTAGAGTGTACTGTAAGGTCATGATGGTGTAGAGTGTACTGTAATGTCATGATGTAGTAGAGCGTACTGTAAGGTCATAATGAAGTGGAGTGTACTGAAAGGTCTTGATGTAGTAGAGAGTACTGTAAGGTCTTGATGTATTGGAGAGGACTGTAAGGTCATGATGAAGTATAGTGTACTGTAAGGTCATGACGTAGTAAAACGTACCGTAAGGTCATGATGTAGTAGAGCGTACTGTAAGGTCATGATGAAGTGGAGTGTACTGAAAGGTCTTGATGTAGTAGAGAGTACTGTAAGGTCTTGATGTATTGGAGAGGACTGTAAGGTCATGATGAAGTAGAGTGTACTGTAAGGTCATGACGTAGTAAAACGTACCGTAAGGTCATGATGTAGTAGAGCGTACTCTAGGGTCATGATGTAGTAGAGCGTACTGTAAGGTGTACTGTAAGGTCGTGATGAAGTAGAGTGTACTGTAAGGTCATGATTAAGTAGAGTTTACAGTAAGGTCATGATGAAGTAGAGTGTACTGTAAGTTACAGTACTGTAAGATCATGATGAAGTAGAGTCTACTGTATTCCCGCAATCCCAGGGAAATTTGTAATCCCAGTATTAGCAGAAACAAAGTGTATAAAATAAAACAACCAAGCGGAAACGTTTAGCTCCGTTCAAGCTCAAATCCACCCCTTTTAAAACTTACTTGTGAGATCTCGTCTCGTCTTCACCACCCTAACCGTACAACCAGTACTGGTCTATCGATGTCCGGAGGTGGCTAGCCCCAGGGAAATGCCAGAATTGTGTTTTCTAAATTGCAGCACTTGGAGCAATAGTTGGGTAACACACGTTTTTCACATTTAGAGATATATTCACAGAAGTGTTCAGAAGAGTAACCTCCCTTCCTTGGGAACAGCCCTGCGTGACTCAATAGCATCTCGCGTTGCGGCAAACGGGCTTTCTTTTTCTTGATGATAAAACTAGAAATTGTCTTTAGGCATTAGTTGTGTATGATCAAGAACGTAATTTTAACCAATCAGAAAGCATTATTTTATTTGCTGTGAGAATGAATTTCCCAACCTGCCACAGGAGGCAGATAATTCGCGCCCGAGAACTGTAAACTTTGGTAAGTGAGGCTGGAAAGAGAGACAATCTCGCCGAAACTCTGATAAACTTTACATTATAGACACACAACTGTTGGAAGCAACTGTAAACGCCTAATTAAGTGCTTTGAGCGAATGACATGGGGCAATCAAGAGCAAGTTTACAATGACTTGTATGGATTGGAAGAAATATGCAGAAATCTTACCTGACAGGTTGCATTCAGATAAACCCAAACGCTGATATGTACTGGATACAGTGAAAGTAGGCGACAGAAAAACCGTCAGTATCACGTAATTTTTGTTTGTTTTTTTGTTGGTGGACATTCAAACATGCAAAAAGGCTCTTCTTTCAATGCATGCTGTCAGTGATGATAAAGTGGAAAGAGCATTGAGTCAGAGAAACTCGGATGGGATTCCTGGCATAGACATCAAAATCCGAGAATATTGGACTTGTAAAGGGGCATACGGGTAGTTCTCCGTCATATACGAGTCATAATCTAAACATCTCATTCATCTAAAGGTCGTGTTTGTTTAGTATTTGCACCTTCTGACACAATGGTTTGTTATAACCTGACGGCTGTAGAAATTAATGAGTGTGTTTGGGTTTATATTTGAGATGCCAGGTGTACATCTATCAAGTAATGGAAAGTCACGTGAACGCACTTTTGTTGCTTATCAACCTATCAATATAAATCATAGCCATGATATATTATTTGGAGGGTTAAACCCTTTATCAGCTGTTCGAGTATTAGAACGAGTAATACTACCTTGTGCTCTCTATGGTTCCAACACATGGGGACAGCTCTCCCTGAGAGAATATGATATGTTAGAAGTACCCCAAAGATATTTCAGCAAAAAGGTACAAGGCTTACCTAAGCATAGTCCTTCTCATATTGCTCTGGACAGCCTACACCTTTCCACAATACAATCTTACATTGAGCATCAATCACTCCTACTCATGGGCAAGCTCTGCAGGGTGAGTAGTAAATACTACTTTAAACGTGTCTTCATTGGTCGATTTGGTCAGTATAAATGTGACCTTAACAACGAAAAACGATGCTTCTGCTCACCCGCTTTCAACATGTTCAAACTTGTACAAAAATACAGTCTTGAAACAGAGGTCAGGGACCACTTCTATGTCTGTAATCCTCTCAGCAAGCCTCAGTGGAACCGGCTGGTCACAGATAGAGTTAGAAGCCTCGACATATCTACTCGAATGCATGGAATAGCCAGCAGATTAGATCTGTCCAGATACATGACTGTACGACATGAGAACACTAATAGACTCTGGTTACTGTGCAAGAGACTTCCCCTGAAATTTAATGCTATATCTAAAATTGTACAGATTGCATGTAGACCACTAGAATCGAGAGAATGTGCATGTGGTACAGTTGTTTATGACCTTGTGAACCATGTTTTCATATCATGTTCCAAGAACATGTCAGAGAGAGACGAACTGTTTGAAAAAGTATTTGACCTGATGGATGTCAAATGTTTTGCTGACTTATGGTCAAAAGATGACGACTCCATCATCTCATTCTTCCTTGTTGTATTCCCAGACTGTACAGAAGAGATGCAGTTTGATACCTGGTGCCAAATACTGTTAATTGTGGCTGATTTTGTCAGTAAATGCAATTTCCTGCTTCATTAACTTTCTGATGCATTCATATATTCACTTGTCTGTAAATATCATGTGATGTATAAATGCTTGTAATCTTCATATCTGGAGGAAATAAAACCAATCTATCTATCATAAGCTTATTTCTTCCAGTGACGACTGAGATTATAAGTCCTCCTGCAAGAGTTGAGTATCCAATAGGGACGCCAGTGCTAGCCCTATACACAATCAGAACCAGTCTTGTCTGGAACGGGATAAAACTGTTTACTAAGATCAGGAGGATAACGTATTACATGTAAAAATTAGTTGTATATGATTTTGAATCAAAGTCAAACGCAGGATATTGATTTTTCTCGAAATATGCTTTTGATGGTTAGCCCACTATTGCACCAATCGCTTCAATTCAGGAAACCCAACCATCAAACTAACTGACAAATCACTACTGGCGGAGATGTAAGTACCAACACAAATAGCTAAACAGAAGGTTCTAATAAACAGTAGAACATTTATGATAGTGTTATTTATCTTCATTCTCCTCACCTTAAAGCTCTGTTGTTGATCAATCAGCTACCTGTGAAGATCCGGGGTAGAACAGGTCTTCAGCAACCCATGCTTGCCACAAAAGGCGACTATGCTTGTCGTAAGAGGCGACTAACGGCATCGAGTGGTCAGGCTCGCTGATTTGGTTGACACATGTCATCGGTTCCCAATTGCGCAGATCGATGCCTTTGCTGTTGATCACTGGATTGTCTGGTCCAGACTCGATTATTTTTCAGACCGCTGCCATATAGCTGGAATAAAGTGCGGCGTAAAACACAACTCACTCACTTTCTCACTCATCTTAAAGCACATTGAAAGTCAGTGGAATATTGTATCTTTAGTTTCCAAATTTGAAAACAAGCAAGTTTTGAAGTTTATAAAATGAATGCTTGTTGTGCAGTGTTGATATGTAAAGATTGTTTTAGTACAATTACTTCAGGAGCTGATTTCTCAACAATACCTTGTACTATATAATTTGTAGACTGCAGGGCCCCACCGACTGTAGAATACGTCGATTCTTCAGTCGTCAGACAGTTCACTCGGATAAACCATTCATTGAGGTGCCAAGTGGGATTTGTGCCGTGTGGAAACATGACATGTAAGCCGGATGGAACGTGGACCACGATGACATGCTTGCGTAAGTTGACATAACATGGTAACATAGGAACTTCGAAATGAAAGAAATTGTTGTGAATAAAGGATCATATTTGATGAATTCAGTTTGCGAAATCTTCACTACATATATTCAAAGACATATATATAAAAATATGAATATAAATATATATGTATAAATATATAAATAGGCTACATATATTCTTTCTAATGAGAAGGCAACGTCGATTTGACTATCATTGTGATTCATCGACACACGCTCTGAACTTCGAAATGAAAGAAATGGTGGTGAATAAAGGATCATGTTTGATGAATTCAGTTTGCGGAAATCTTCACTACATATAAATATATAGAGATTTATATAGCGCCAATATCCAGATGAGTCCTGCTCAAAGGCGCTTTCGTATGAGTCTGACAAGGAAAGAGTCACTCGGAACTGTAACATGATTTGAAAAAGAATGTTTTCAACATTCTCTTAAATGCACAGATTTTCTCTGCACTTTTAATGTCCAATGGGATATTGTTCCAAAGCATAGGACCTGCTTTTGAGAAACACCTGTCTCCAAATGTCTTTGTCCTCGTACGTGGCACAACTAGTAACTGGGCACTACTAGAACGTAGGGAACGGTAGGGTTGATGGCACTGGATCAGTTCATTGATGTATGATGGGCCAATACCGTGAAAAGCTTTGTATACAAGCACAAGAATCTTAAATTCTATCCGTTTGACTATTGGGAGCCAATGCAGATGCATCAGAACTGGAGTTATGTGCTCATATTTGCCGGTTCGAGAGATAACTGTAGCAGCTAAATTTTGTACCTGCTGTAACTTTGCAATTCGTTGTTTTGGTAGCCCAACCAAGAGAGCATTGCAATAATCCAGACGGGATAACACGTATGCCTGGATGAGTGATGCAGCCACACGTGTGTTTATATACTTCCTTATTAGAGCAATGTTTCTGATATGGAAGTATGCCTGTTTGCAGATTTGGCTGATATGGTCTTCAAGTGAAAAAATTACTCCCAGATTACGAGCCTTTTTACTTGGTTCTATGATACTGTCACCAATTTTGAAAGCCGGCAGTGAGAGATGTCTTAAATTGGACTTTTGACTGAAGATGAGGAGCTCCTTCAGTCTCAAACCATTTTTCCAGCCCCAGTCAGAACTGTCTTAATGGTAGGGTTCCTATACATATATTCAAAGATATATATATAAATATATAAATATAAATATATATAAATAGGCTACATATATTCTTTCTAATGAGAAGGCAACGTCGATTTGACTATCATTGTGATTCATCGACACACGCTCTGAACTTCGAAATGAAAGAAATGGTGGTGAATAAAGGATCATATTTGATGAATTCAGTTTGCGGAAATCTTCACTACATATATTCAAAGATATATAAATATATAAATATATATATATATAAATATACAAATAGGCTACATATATTATTTCTAATGAGAAGGCAACGTCGATTTGACTATCATTGTGATTCATCGACACACGCTCTAATATTAGATATCTTTCTAAGATGAATTTATTCGTTAAACGTATAACTGTGAGGTCATGTTTAGAATTGAAATGTTTCAATCATAATTCTGTTTCTACAAGGTTGTCATTTTAACAGGTAGAAGAGATTACAGGAAAATATCAATGAACCACTGAACATCAGTGATAACACCCGGTGTCGTTCTGTCTTGCGAGTGTGTTGAGAGCAAACACTTACAATGTATTTCAAAGAAGAGTGAGTGTCTCGAAGCACTCATTGCAAAAAGCCTTCAGTCTCCAACCATTTTTCCAGCCCCAGTCAGAACTGTCTTAATGGTAGGGTTCCTATGGGATATATACTACATGTATAGACGTCGAATGCCCTGTACTGCTTAGTACATTTTCATTGATTGCCTAAGCTCACCTGCAGGGAAATTCATCTGTCGTTTCAGCTGTGTCCATCTGTTCCGAGGTTCGGCAACTCAGTTCCACGTACACTGACGGAGAGTATTGGCTGTATCCACGGCAACTAGATGGGGTTAGAGTGAAGGTGTACTGTCATGCAATGAACAGTACACCCTCTGAGTACATCTCACTTCCTACACCATATTTCATGGATGCACCCAGCCTACAAAATTACTTCTGCACAGGAGAAATCCCTCATGAAAGTCCATGGCTCGGATATTTTGTCTTTTCAAAGTTTGGCTTGGACATTGAGGTAAGTGACAGTATAATCATATATAGCAGTACTTATAAGAAACGTCTAAATTACAACAATAATTACCGACAATCGAGTGTCTTTGGGTAAATTATCGTGGTGCACAGATATTGGTAAACTGATGTGGTTGGCGCATCTGTAATGCGTATGGAGGAACCGAACACAAAAATGGTTTATGTTGATCTATGAGCTACACTGATGTATGAGTGAAAAGCATTCCCAAACATGCCTGAAGGTTATTGTGAACAATTAAATATATGGGAAGGTTTCAACAAGTATTGTATTTTGACTCGGGACCTTGCACTGCTAATTGGTTGATTCAGAGGAACAGGGCAGGGCAGGACTGCCACTAGTGCACTATGTTGCTGCACGCGTTAACACCTGACACTAGAGACCCGTGCACATTCGCGTTTAGCAACCCATGCTTGTCGTAAGAGGCGACTAAAGGAATCGGGTGGTCAGGTTCGCTGATTTGGTTGACACATGTCACCGTATCCCAATTGCGTAGATCGAGGCTCATCATGTTATCTATCGATTGTCTGGTCCAGTTTCGATTATTTACAGACATATAGCTGGAATATTGGCAAGTGCCGTTAAACAACAAACAAATAAATCTTGAACTAGAACATACTTTGCTTTTGATCTTTCCCTTATGGATTCAAATGTTTTGAACAATGGCCATGATGACCATTACCTACAACTATCAGTTCCGCTGATGAGGGCGGTGGGGTAGTCTAGTGGTTAAAGCGTCCGCTCTTCACGAGCATGTGCTCTTCATGTGTGCAGCCCATTTCTGTTCCCCGGCCTGGCATTGCTGGAATATTGCTTGATTTCTACAGTACTTTGTCGGAAAAGGATTTAAATTTTTTTTTTTCGAAATCCCAAAGTTGGTGATACAACCCCTTTAAAACCTGAAATTGTCAGGTCCAGACGCGGTTATTTCAGACCATGTAGCTGGAATATTGCTGAATGCGGCGTTAAACAACCAACAAACTGAAATTGCCAACACTCGTGATGAACTATTCCTCATCATCTAATTACAACCCTTAGTTTAAGAAATCCTAAAAACAAGAAAAGAAACCACTGAATTTCAGCTGATAATGGTGAGGATTTTCTCTCTTTGAATTGCATACTGCCCAGGGACAAACTCGACACTGAAGCAGGAACTGGCAAAATGCTTTTCAGCTCATGAATTCTGATCCGGTTCATGTTTGGAAACGCTATTAAAGATATAAGATGAAACGTCGACACTCATTCCTGTACCCAAACGTGCCAGAACGGAACCGACCCACCCAAATCAAATATCGTCCTGCATCATTAAATATATTTGGGATGTGACATTCTTACTACATATATGCGGAGGCAAAGTGTCCCAAGGGTCTTGATTTGTTAAAGCCTATTTAACTCTCCTTCACTTGTACAGACCATAACTCCACTCTAAACAAGCTTATGACTTATCTGCCCATGATGGAATCTGTTAAAGCAAAACGCTTCACAATATAACATCAACCTGTCTTTTAGGACCTCCTCGGCTGACAATCTATATGTGGAGGCTGATGAACCTTCCCCTAAACAGTAACTCCAATGCATCAACAGAACAGTTCTTATCAGTCAAACTCAGCATACAATTGCGTTATTAACCGCCTTTATGAAAACCTGTTTCGACATTTGCCAAGTCTGGCTCCACCACTCTGAGTTAGAATTCAATCACACTCTGAAACTACAATCTGAGTTCAGTATCACTTGTCTTCCCGGGTAGATGGTATACCCAGAGGCAGACGTTAAAACACCCCTTAGTATTTCAACAGGTATTTAACTATAAATGTTCCCTGTTTGTTAACAATTCTCTGCGATGATAGACCTTCATTTCACAGATTATGGCAGTTAAGCCCAGAGATTATGTCTTCTACAACAAGACAACCTCGCTGGATGCTATTGTGGGAGAAGTCCGAGACTGTTACGCCCTATCAGACAGCGCATGTGGAAGAAGAGGACGGGCGGTAATGGACCTGAGAGGCACTGGGCTGGCTCTTAACGAAACCGTTAGTCTTAATCAAGAGTTCATAGCTTGGGAGCTCAGTGGAATCCCGTTTTTTGAAATATACAAGTTTGTTAGACAACAAGCCGAAACCGAAATTTGTACCGAAAGGTCGCATGAAAATATAATTTAGCAATTTCTATCCATAAAGTATTATACCTTGATTATTTATCTTCCACTTCTAGAATGCCAAACAGATCGTTGCCAATATTGCTGTATGCTCCCGTTCAAGATGTAGTTATGTTCTGATATTTACACTGAAAACATGGCTGTGAAGGTCAAGGAGTTTAGATGGTCATAATATCTCAAATCTTTAAACACCATCTCACCGTTTATGTCGGTTATGAGATGTTATAGTTCTAACATCAAGAATGGACCTAACGATGGTTGAAAACATTCAGCCATAAGCACCAAGACAACATTTTATCACGATCTTATATAATCGTTTGAAAACAAGGATCAAATCAGCTGACAGAAAGTCAGATGATATAGAAAATGTTTAACAGCATGACTGAGATTTGAAATATACCATTAGAAAAAGTAAGGGATGTTGGATTTACAAGATTGATAAAATGCAAATGACGAAGCCAAAGAGGAAACAGATGATGAAGAGAAATTAAGGGAAAATGTGACAATTTATTCCATTCCTTTGGAAAGTTTCATCTGTATGGATATATTTTACTTTTCTCATATGCATTGGCATTAGTTAGTGGCATGCTCGCAAAATGGAATATCCCTTACTTTTTTTGAATGGTATATATCAATAAACAGTTTGTTATTTTCTGATTTTCTTTCATCTCTGTTTGCCTATTGTGTATCATTCGTGTAGGTGTCTTGCAATGTAACAATCGACTAGGCTTTGTATCGTCACTAATTAATTGTGGTTCATAAACAGTTTCTTAGAGAGGTGGAGAAAAGCCCCACCTGTCAAAGTAATATTCCTTTTAAATACTAAAAGCATTTTACTTATTGCAATTTATGAAGTGGATATGGGGCAAACAAAACAAAAACAATCTAAAAGCATTTCTTGTAAGTTTACATTTTTGGCCCCCAAAAAGATTTTTTGAGCGGGGAAAATTATTATTATTAATATTTTTATTATTCTTGAAAAAGCACGACCGGCGGAACCGTAAAGCAAGAAATAAACTTGATCTGGCCTTAGCTTGAGTACAGCAGAGATACCAGTGGTTGACAAACTTGCGATCGGTATACCATGCCGAACTGGTATGTGTCCATTTCGCCTATAAGGGGAATTCATTATAAATGGATCTTTGGAGATCAGGGATGCAACAAGCGTGTGTGAAAGGCGAAGTGCATGAATTTTATCTTGTCGTTGATTTTTCTTGAACTAATTCTTACAGGTCACGTGGTGGCAGAATGGAGGAGTACCGATTGTGACGAGGTCATCAAATGACCAGTTGATAGAGATTCGGTGTGGAGGATGGTGTGGTCATTGCTATACAGATGGTAATGCTCTCCTCACCGTATTTGAATCAGATGGTAGGTATGTCATAATTAGAAGTGACGTGTGTAAACTGTATCTTTGTGGCAAAGTGAAAGAAATACGTGTTCCATCTACCTATAAACAAACGAGTCGTGACAAACCCTGACTGAAAGCGACAGCAAGGAAGTTACAGCTGAGTCCCTTAACTGACTACCCGATTCAAGGACCCGTGAAGATCCGGGTTAGAATTGATCTTCAGCAACCCATGCTTGTCGAAAGAGGCGACTAACGGGATCGGGTGGTCAGGCCCGCTGATTTAGTTGACACATGTCATCGGTTCCCGATTGCGTATACTTATACTCATGATGTTGATTATCTGGTCCAGACTTGATTATTTACAGACCGCCATTATATACCTAGAAAACTAGAACAACTAGATTCATGGTCAGGTTTCACAAAGCTACGATTTTCTTAAGTGTATGTTAAAGTATAGGAGTTACGACAGCCGTAACACTATGGTAGCTTTGTGGCCATTGCGCCTGTTTAAGTACAGTCCGTTTGAGTCAGAAACGGACCGATGAATTGCAAATTGATCATTGTACAAAATTGCCACAGAAATATCAATAGGACACATGTTTATCATTTACTAATACCCAACAGCTTTCTTATATTTGAAAATTTTCCGGACTCCTCGAAAAACGTTGTTTAAGAAACTATCATCATTGAAAACGCAAACGTTGTTATCTGTCGCGGCGGGGTGAAACCGCAGAAACAGAACAGACAGTCATGGCGGGGGACATCTCAAAATGTATTCCGGGAGACCTGTCGGATCCTCGTCCGTCGTAGTGTCATAGTAACGAATTAAAGGTATGACCAGTGGTGCCACAGTTGCCTATTGTAAGCCATCCCGAGACCAGTAACCTTGTTCAATGACGTTAGCTACCTCGTTGACACAGTTTTGCCAAGTTTCAGTTGTGATTTTGTTAAGGGATTCCCTGACCAAAACCTCTACGTCACATAATCTAAACGTTGTGTTTGATCTGGCAACGTCTCCTTTGACAATACCCCATATCATGTCAATGGGGTAAAGGTCACAGTGATAGGGTGGAAGTCGCAGAATATCGTGACCGTTACTTTTTATGTAACTGTCAACTTTGTAGAAAGGTTCACCTTTGCGGGTTTTTATGATCTCATATATCTGAAGCTTCGTTGCCTTTGAAGGCCGTGCGATCTGAAATTTGTCGAGCCATGATATCATATCACCTTTTCGACTGTTCTATGTCGGGGCTTTACTGTCGGGTTCCTGCACGCTGTGGTATGGGGCATTGTCCATTACGATAAAAGAGAGGTTCCAATCGAGGAAAACCGCACCATTCATCTCGGAATGGTAGTCTCTGTTATATGTGGACTTTGCCCTGAATACCAAGTTGCAGCCTGGGAGAAAGCCTTTGCTGGAGCAACCAGCATGGAGAATGATTAGTCTCTCTCCTTTCCCTAGAGGCAGCAAACTACGTGACC